TGTCTCTTGGAGTTCCTTGGGCTAGGCCTGACATTTATAAATGTATTGCTCTCTTTGGACTGCATGTGCATACTAAATAAAATATTTAATAAAATAAATAAAATAGTATGCATGAGTGCATACTAAATAAAATATTTGGAGGGCCACACCTCTCCCACCCTTGGCCCCAAGAGCATCTGTCTGGGCTCACACTGACAGTATGACATTTTTATTTTTATTTTAATTATCCAAGGGAAGACCATTTCCATTCCAGCTTTGGAAATAGAAGGATACTTAAGCTGGTGCTCTCCATATCCTTTAGATTTCATCTCCCATCAGCTCCAGGTGGCCAGCGTAGTGGCAATGGATTGTGGGAGCTATAGTCCAGAACATCTGAAGGACTCTGGTACTGACCTTGGTCAGAGCAATTCTCCTTCCTAACCTGAATGCTACCAATTCTTTCTCTCCAAACAAGCCGGGGTGTCTTGCAGGCAACCAGACCATCACTTTTTGCATAAACACATTTTTACTGCTGCTTAGTTAATAACTTCTGCGTTTAGTCCTTACAACTTTTTAGTTTCAAAAGAACAACAAAAGTATAAAGTCCTTTACTCATTTATCCAGGTTGGCCCACTACTCTTGGAAGGGTGGTCTTTGGCATGTCGTTCCAAGGCCTGGGAATACTTGCTCACCTTTGCTGAAACCCAATGTTTCTCAACCTCCTCAACTTTAAGATGGATGGACCTCAACTTCCAGAATTCTGGGAGTTGAAGTCCACCCGTCTTAAAGTTGAAGAGGTTGAGAAACACTACTATAACCACTGAATCTCCAAGGCTGTCACCATATGAGCTGCTCAAACACATTTGCAGCCTTTGAATGAAGAAAATAACCCAAGAGAGAAGAGAATGTTCTCCAGAAGTATCCTTCCCCAGTTGATCTGGAGCAAGGCCAATGCACTTCAATCCCAGTCATTCAACTGGAAATCTTGGGAACTGAATCCCTTGAAGAGTCACCAGCGGAAACATCCCAAAACCTGTCTGCCATGCTCACCATTGCCTCCGGCACCCTGATCGTGCAAACTGCAGATGGGGTTGTTCTCGCCACTCTCTACACAACCCCGAAGCACCCGATTCATCTTCTGCTCCATCTCGGCATCACCGCGTTGCACTGCCCCAAAATCCAGCTCACTGGCATTGTCGCCTTGCACCTAAATGCACACAGGAGAGGTTGGCAGGTGGCAGCTGGGCCACAATGAAAAAGATACAGGTGGTTCTCACTTAGCAGCCACAACTGGGACTAGAAACTCAGTTGCTAAGTGCTACGGTTACTAAGCGGAAAATCACATGACCATGACAGGCTTACAACGTCACTTCCCCATTGGCCGTTAAGCAAATTACCGAGGTCATTAACCAAGACACCATGTGATCGCAATGGACTTAGGATGTCACTTCTCTTTCGGTCTTTCAGCAAATCACTGCGGTCATTAAGCAAAACATCACGTGACTGCGACTTGCAACTTCCCTGCCGGCTTCTCCACTGACTCTGCTTGCCAGAAGCCAGTTGTGAAGTACACAAATGGCAATCACATGACCGGAGGGATGCTGCGACAGTCATAAATGCAAGGATTGGTCACAAAACTTTTTTTACACTGTCGTAACTTCAAACAGTCATTAAACAAGGCAGTTGGTAAGTGAGGGCCACCTGTAGCTTTGCCACCACCAGTCCAGAAGTGCAAGAATGATGGCTAGCATCTGCTTCCTGCCCCTGCTTTATTAATCCAAAGATGCTGAAAGAGATCTAGAGTGAAGAAGAGAGAGCCCTTCTTGGTTTACCTGGATAGAAGAAGCAGCTCCTCCCCCCACACCAATTCGGTAGACGGGGCCTCCAACCTTGACAACATCCATCCCTGGAAAAGAAGATCAGAAGCGAAGTTTCAACCTCAGAGAGAAGTTTCTGATACGGAGGCTGAATTCAGCCTTCTGAGGATAACAGCTTCCTTTAAAAAAAAGAATCCAGTTTCCTGAAAGTCTCCTTGGTGGCACTTGGATATCAGCTATTGCAGTGTTTCTCAACCTCAGCAACGTTAAGAGGTATGGACTTCAACTCCCAGAATTCCCCAGCCTGCTTAGCTTTATTCAAGTTCAGCCAAGATCAGCTTGGGGCTGCTGCTGGCTGGAATAGCCTTGGGATATGACAGGCTAAAATCCAGAAAACCCCTTACCAGGCTGGGGAGCTTCCTTGCGCACGTGCATATCTTCGATTGCGCCAATGCCTCCGCTGAACATGATGGGCTTGATCCATTCGTGCCGCTCTCCGTCCACCAGGCGCATCCCAAAGGAACGTGCGAACCCTACGCCAAGGAGGACGGCCGAACGTAAGCAACTCCCCTTTCCCACGCGATCTTGTTTCTGCAAATACCCACCCCGCTAGTTCCTCTGCCCTCCGCCCCTCTCCCGTGCTCCAGCGGTGAGCATATTTTCACAAAACAAGCCACGACTTCAAGCACGTCACCAGCTGGATCTCAGAAGCAAACCGCCAGCAGGCTCACCTGCCAGAACGGGTTCCCCAAATTTGTTGCCGTAGTCCGAAGCCCCATCGCTGGCCCCAATGGCCACTTCCACCGGCCGGGCAAAGTTGTCAGGATATACGAAAGATGCATCTTCCCAAGGTAATGGGTATCCTACAAGGCAGAATGCAAAAGGAAAGGGAGCGTTTTTTCCAGAGCTAAGTAACGTTCAAAGCACTATTTTGCATACACTTCGCTGCTTTGGACTGGAACATCACACATACAGTGACCGTATGTCCTGTATTATAAAGGACAGTCCTTTATTTCCAAAAGCTGTCCTTTAGATTGATTTATCTTTCAAAAACTCACTTTTGTCCTTTATTTGGGTCACTTAACTCTTACCGTAGAAATGGTAAATGTTAATGCACAGTCCTTAATGCACAGTCTTTCACATTCATGTGACAAATATGGAAACTGAATTGCCTTTTTAAGACAAATTTACATAGGTGGTTTAATTCTAGATATTTTTATTAGAATAGGCGTTTTTCTTGGTTTTGCTCTTGAATTTTCCTTTGTAAAGCAAAGTTATAAACATGCCGGCTGGGGAATTCTGGGAGTTGAAGTCCACCCATCTTAAAATTGCCAAGTTTGAAAACCACTGATCTAGAGTCTAGCACTCTGCAGCAAGCCAGCTTCTCTTTGTTGCTTTGGTTACAAGCATCTTAAAACTAATTTTGCCAAGCAAGGCAAGGAGTCTGATAGCTACCAAGGGGAATATGTCACACACCATGGACTATTTGGACATCCAATTGTCTACCCTAATGTATGTTCTACCATGATGGGCTCTCGGACTGTCCCAGAATACAGCGTCCTGATAAATCTCACTTTTCTTAAAAAAAAAAAAAGTTTCTAGTCCTCAAGAGGAGGGATGAAAACCGGCAGGGAGATACTGCATGAAACTTCAGCAGGTGGCAGGGTTTATTCCAAAGATGTGGCCCCCTGGCACACTAGCTGGGTTTCTTTCCTGGCACAAAGTAAATGCAGTGGTGTGTGGAGGAGAGAGAGGGGACTGTGGTTCAAAACTCCAATCACCTATTCAGGGGCCACCCTCAGTGGTTAGAACATTCTTCCATTCCATGTTTGCAAGGAGACGGGCTCCAAGATTCAGCTACTTACTCACCTGGGATATGCAGATTGCCAAAACTGTACCCGGCGGTGCCAGCAATTACATGAGCCCCACGACCTGTGCACTGCACATCCCGGATTCGCCCCCCTGTCCCAGTAGTGGCGCCACTGAATGGGGCAACTCCTAGAGAGGAGTGGGGAGAAGTCTCAATCAATGAAACTCGCAAACAGTTTGAACGCTGTTCCTCACTGATTTGACGACGTTTCTTATCACACAAACTCTATTAATCAGATCATCAAGGCTGAGCGTTCTGTGCATCACCTCACCTAAGAACTAATTTCATGATTTTTTGGGCTTCTCTTCCCCATCTCCCAATTTCTCAGAACTATACCCCATGAGTCTGATGGAGGACTCAAATGTATGCAGCACTCATTCGATATCCTGTTAAGGAGCCACGTGATTTAGTTTTCTTCTTGGGTAAACATGTCCCCCTCCGTATATTTCTCAGTACAGAGAAAGCAACACACCTTGTATTTTAATCAACTTCTACGCCAGAGAGAAGAGCTTGCTGATACTTTTGAACAGTTTAATCAACTTTCCCTCCAAGAGATCTTTTACCTACGTTATTTTTCTTGCAGGATTAATCTCTGGGCAAGAAACAGTTGGATAAGAGGCAGAAATTCAGTTGGAGGTTCTCAACGGGTGAGATGGACATTTTTTCAAAACTGAATCCTGATCTCATAAGGAAGAACAGGTCCACTTCTACGGCCCCAGTTCTGCATTTCACACAACTCTGAAAGATTCCCAAAACTTGTTCACGCTAATACCAGGTTCATAGTCAACCATGCTTGATTAACTGTGCTTTCCTTGAATGAATTGTTGGGTAGCTAAGCCTTACACTACAATTTCCAAACAAATACAGCCAAGTGCACAAAGAATGGAAGCCTAAACCAAGCTACATTATGGCTTAACACAACCTGTAAATCCAGCTGAACTCTTGCTTGCCAAAGATGATAATGTTTTTTGGAGTAAGACTCCAGAGCTTACAGTTCTTTCTTCCCTTGTGGACCTATCTGTGGCTTCCTCTGAATTTGGAAATGATTCACAGACCCCAGTAGGGCAAAGGCAAAGGCCAAGAATGCAGCTTTAAAATGTGCTTCAACTTTTCCTGCTTCCTGGTCACCCTTGGTTTCTCTGTTCAACCAACCATGTTTATCAGCACAGGAGATCCCTGCTGATCTGTGCAAGAATTGGTGGCAATGTTAATTTCAGGCATGAGAAGTGATTCAGGGGCAAAGCACATGCTTTGCACATATCAGATCCTGGATTCAGTCTCTGACACCACCACTTTGAGACAGATCAAGAGAGAGAGAGAGATTTCCATGCCAGCCTGGAGATCACTGTACAGAGAGGGGCTATTAAACTCATGTCCAACTCATGGGCTAGAAAAGATTTTGTACTGATCTTGCAGGCTTCTTCTGCTATTCTCAACAGTCCCCTGATGCAGACAGGCACACTGGAGCTTGCACTGACTTTGATTATAGCTCCCATAGTCTCACTAGCTGTGGATGATGGAAGCTGTCATCCCCAGACAACCAGAAGGCGCCAAATCACATACCACCGTATGTTGGCAGCACTGCTTTGCCAGGGTCTTCTTCCAAGGCACACCAGAAAGTGGGCTCCCACGCCTGTAGCCCTCAGTCGTGGGCCCCTCTTTCAGCTAACTCACCTGTGGGAAAGTTGTGGGTTTCAGCTGTGAAGATGCCATGTCGGGTGGACGTCCGCTTCTCAAAGGGGCTGGCTTTGGATGGGTCACTGGGCCAGAGTGAAAGGACTTCTCTACCTTGGATTGCACTTGAAGGAGAAGACACAAAACTTTAAGTTTCAGAAACACATCAAAAATGAAAGGAACCTCCCCAAGTCTTCCTTCTCCTGGTGTACTGGAACCAGAGTACCCAGAATTCCTTGCTCTTCAGCTGTGCTGATTGGGAATCCTGGGATCTGTGGTCTCCCAAGGCATCTGAGAAACATCCAGCTGAGTTGAATGTCTCCACTTCCCTTCCTCAATGGCTGCTCTCGCCAATCCAGCAACTCCTCTCTTCAGTTGGGCAGGGGGAGAGGGAGGGGGGAATACCCACCTGCTGTTGTCGCAGAACTTGATGACGTTGTTGGGGTTGCTGCGTTCTTGAGTTTTCATGATAGACTCGAAAAGTGATTCCTTCCTTTCTTCCCCATCCACTAGGAGACGCCCTTTGAAGAACCAATGCCGGCTGTGTTCACTGCAGAGAAACCCCGGGTGGGAAGGAGGGAAATGTTAGGATGGGGCACGCTGCTTTTGGATCAAGCTCGAAGGGGGGCCCATCTGACCCAGAGCTGCCTTTTAATCAAAGGCCCCCTTTAACACCAAAAACAAAAGGAGGGAAGAAAGCGTGAGTTCCGTTGGCACCACGCATTCTCCCCAGAATCTGCTGTAAACCAGATTCAGACACATACCTTGTTTTTAACCCCAG